AACTGGCCATTTTAACTCTCCTGGCCCCACAAAATTTTGAGGCTGATTTAAAAGCCACAGGTTGTTTTCAAAATAATGAATGTAGGATTACTTTTAACTCATGTCTCTGAAGGTTAAATCTTTGGGCTGTACTTAGGTTAAAGATCAAACCCATAACCAAGAGAAACCGGGGGGCTCCTCTCTCTTTTCACGTTGGCCACTTGGTTGACTTGGGTCAACGTCTCTGCTCTGTTTTTTGGGTAGGCCCTCTGGGGAAGAGAAAAACTTAGTAATGCATTTGGAGTTCCCTGGAGAAATGTGCCCTGTGTGGGTGAGGGCACAACAGAGCTGAGGGATGGGGAGAGGCTGCAGAGCACCAGGCACAGCCATGCCTAAACTAAGAGGAAGCTCGGTCAGGCAAAGCTTGTTCAAGGAACCATTTCAGGTCAAGTTTCTGCATCACGAAACCATGAACAAACTCAGCTTTACACAGAGAGACCTTATCACTCCATTACACAGGGATGATGGCAGGGATAATTGCTAGGAGAGGGGATGCTCAGCCGGAGTGTAAATCAGCATCGCAGCGACCAGGCTGCACAGGGCTGCCCCACTCAGGGTCTAACCCTGCACCTTGGGGTCATTCGTACAAATTTTCCTGGTGGCAAAAGTTATCTTGGTAATAAAAGGCCAGAATTGAGCATTTCACCCTTTTAAAAAAGTTCAGTCAATTCAGAAAAGCAGAAGGTTGGCTGCAGTGTCTTAAATATTTATCAATACATTTATTTTTTTTACTCAGGGAATTTTTCAGTAACACCTTCAGGTTTCAGTCTTCAGATGAATGCTTTGCAGCAACTCCACGCGTGCAGATGAAGGCAAAGCAGCCTTCAGTGGGAATTATTTTATCAGAGATGTCCAGCGGTGGGAAGCTCTTTCCTTTTTTCCGTGGAGAGCAATTGAAAAACAAGCAGGGAAAAGGCCATAATGTCATGGTCCAGCAAAACACAACTGCTTCAACCAGCAAAGAAGCAATCAATTCTTTCATGTAGCAGCTGATTTAAAACAAATGTTTCTCATCGCTGGGAGTGAACCCCACGGCAGGTCACACAGCTCTGGAGGACCTCAAGGCTTCTCCTGCAAATGAGATGCCTTCAGACTGTGCCCAAACCAACACGGGCCAAGCACTGCAAGCATTGTACACAGGCAAGCAGGGATGTTCAGAGAAGCTTGTCTCACCTCCTGACAAACCCTCATTCACCCCATTGCTCTTGCATGGAACCAGTTGCTGGCTTTTGGCTCAAACACATTTTTTAAAGCCATCCAGACCTCCCACGGCAGAGATCGCTGAAAGGAAACACATGGTGGTGGAACTTCTCCATTGGTGCAAAAGGCACCGCTGGCCCCAGGAAATCCCTGAGTGCCTAATGACCCCTGAGCCTCCTGGGAAGGGTCCTTATTCCTCCCTAGTCCCTAAAATCTGCTACAGGCCACTCTCAGAGCCACAGAGGGAGAACAGGACCTTAGATCCAAGCCATCACGGATGATCTCTCCTAACTTAGCCAATATGGAGATGACGATCACACTAACAGACTAAACTAGACCCAGTTTAAGCAGTTTTAAGCCAGTTTAAGCCAGCAAGTTTACACCTTTACTGATAGACACCTGTGTTCAAGTGAGGGAGACGCCTTTCTGCTCCCTTTTATGGTTTGTTTTCATCCCTGTTTGTTGCATTTGAGTGCTGGGACCCATCTCACATCCCTGTGCACTTGGCTGTGGGACATTGTCCTCACACACTGGTGGTCCTCTTTGGGAAATGAGGACTCCTAGGGGACAACTCTAATGGCAAAGAATGTGCCTCAAGAAGGAAGGGATGTTTAATGGCCAGCTCAAACATCAGCATCTCCATTCAACACCTCCCAACATCCCCTGCCCTATGACAGCAAGTCTCCTTCTCCTCTGCTTCCAACAGACCTCCTACCTGGGACCAGACATGGTCTGACATAAGGAAGGCAGGTTTTATGGTGCTCCCCACAGCCCTGTTCATCACCATCCCCTCTGCTCCACTTTGAGGGCGTTTGGGAGTGTGCTGTGGCCTGGTGCAGCATTATTGCACTGGAATTATCCCAGCTGGAATTTCACTTGCACTTCCCAGGGCCCAGACTACAACCCTCCCTGTTCCCAGAGGGGTCAGGATCTGGTCCTGGAGCATTTCTGAGCTGAGTACTAGTGGCTAAAGTAAGCAGTGGGATCCCCACTAACCCTGTTCCCTCTTCTCTCCACTTCCACAGTTTGGGATAAGGCACAGCAATTGCAGTTACAAATATTTAACAAGTCACAGAGATGTTCCTATAAAGCAGCTGCAAAGAGCAGCTCACAGCAGAGACAGTGAGACAGCTCCAAGTGCAGCTGTCTGCCAGGGCACCGGCTGCAATAAAGGAGCAATCTCGACAGACTTTGAACTTTTCCAGTGGTGAAAGAACAGGGAACGTTAAGAAATAAAGTAAAACAAAGAGCTTCAGCTGATAGAAGCGGCATCAGCAGCGTGTCAGGCACCCAACCCAGAGGGAAATCCCAGGGGACCCAGTCCAGCAACCCCTGGGAGAGGGGATGGTGGGTGGGCTGGGGGTACTTACGGCACGGGATGGCTGAAGGACGAGGACTGAAATCCATGGAGGCCCTCCCAGGCCTGGGAAACTCATTTTGTGCGAGCAGAATGATTCGGCACAAGTCCATCCCTCGCTGGAACATCTTGGAGAGGCTCCTCTGTGTCATCAGCTCCTTGTCCCCCAGAGAACAGGGAGCAAAACCCCACAGGAATAAATACATGTGTCACTACGGCCAAGGGGGTCAGGGACAAGTTCTGGGCAGGCAGTCACAGGTCTCTGCAAGGGCAACCCTGCTGCTCATGCAGCTCGCCCCTGGGGACATTTTGGGACACTTGCCACACCAGACCACCTCATCTGAGCTCCTTCTGCATGTCCCTGAGCTGGCACATTTGGGCTTTCCTTGGGGGGTCCCCACACAAGGGGTGGGGGTGCAGGGTCACCCCAGCACTGGAAAGCTGTGGAGAAACCCCTCCTGGAGCAAAGCTGAAGTGGCATCTCTGCTTACTGTTTGCTGTTGCCCGCCTGGATGGCTCTCACCCCACCAGTGAGGCAGGTCCCCCTCCCCACCTTCACACCATTAACCTTTTAGCCCCAGAACAAAAGGTTATAAAAACCAGCCAAAGTTCATTACGTTCTCTAATGTGTTATTTGCATGGGAACGAGCTGGGAGCAATGAGGCAGCTTTCTCCTGCTGGGGAGGGATTAGGGAGGGGAAAGGAGAAAGGCTGGGCATTAGGACCTGGCAGGTGTGGTGGGACTCAGCCCCACAGCGAGATATAGGGCAGGCACAGGAGGTGAGCAGAGCTGGGCATGGTTATGGCAGAGCCAGAGGGAGCATCCCAGTAAAGCCCACAGCAACACAACCTCTGGCTCAGAGGCAGTGGGGCTGGTCCTCACCTACCAAAGGGAAGGTGATGGTGGTTTCACCCCAGCACCTCCACCACACAGCCCACAGCCCCCCGAGGTCGCTGCAGCTCGTACATGCCCATCCCCAGCAGGCATGGAGGGTCCAGGACACAGCTGAAACCAAAATGACCAACAACTCAGGGAAAATGAAATAAAAGCCTGAGTCGGAAGGTGGCAGAGGCAGCAGGATGGTGGGCATCCAGACACTGGCCACACTGGATGGGCAGGCAGCTCTACTGTGTCAGACATGGGACTCACTGCCCCAACAGAAAACAGCCCCTTGAGTATTTAATTTGACTGGACTGAACTGTAACAACACAAGGTTTTGAGAGGGACACAACCCTGGGGGCATGATCTCAGTTTTTAGCACCTTACTTTTACTTTTGATGGAGCTGCTAAAAGCCTCATCAACTGAAAGCCCATCAGAGCCCCAGTCCCCCAGCCCCAAACTCACCAAAATACTGTCTGTACTGGGGGTTTGGCCAGAGGGATGGGGCAAGCATAACTGATGACTGCTGGATTACCTACTGCCCCACGGGGTAAAACCCTCCAAGGCCAACAGGGCCAGCTGAGACCAGAGGACAGACAGCCCTGGTCCACCTCCAAGCACCTCCAACTACAACCTTGGTGGCAGTGGCAGAGTGGGGCCATGAGACCAGCAGCTCCAGCTCTGGACTCTGGTCACTTATTTTGCCACCACCGAGGCAGAGCAGGGAAGCAGGGTGACTCCAGGCACCTCAACACTGGTAAGACCAGGAGCCAGAGGTCCCAAACAGTTCCATGTGTTCCTGGGCAAAATAAAGTACATAATAAAGCACTCACAGGATCGGCACCTCGTGTCCCTCCCCACCTTTGGAGCTACCTGGCAAAGGAGTCCAGCTGAAGCCAAGGCAAGTGGACTCTGGCATCCTCAGGGAGGCAGGTAGCCACAGAGCATCAGGGCTTCGTTTGGTGGGAGAACCATCCCCCATCACCCTCCTGCAGGGGTAAGGACAAGCGAGCCCAGACGGCTGGCTCTCGGGGGCTGGAAACAAAGCTCCACTTGGATACTCCTGAAGATAGCAAGAAATAGTGCCTTCCAGCCTAATCATTTCTAATGCCATCTGCAGCCTAATTATTAAAAACCTTCTCCACTCAGTAGCTGTAAATGCTGCACCAGCCAGGCATCCCCAGCAATAGTGCCAGGCTGCATTTCCTTCCAGGGGAGCAAATCACACCCTGGAACCCTAAGCTCTTTTGTTTAAGAAACACGTGAATGCTCTTACTGTGGCATGAAAGGGGGTGGGGGAAAAATCAACCAAGAAAAATCAAGGACTCATTTGTTATTACGCCACTGCACAGTGAACGGCTCCATTGTTCCCTACCTGGGGTAATAACCTTTCAGAAAACACGAGTGCTTTTCCCAATGTGTTCTTTAAAAAATGTCAAGCCCAAAGCTGCCGGAGGATCGGTCAACCGCTGGAAAAAAGATAACATAAAACAGCTAACAGATTATCCAGAGGGTTTTCACACTTGATCTGTAAACGCTCTTTTATTTAATAAAAATAATCATCCATTATAGCAACTTCTGCTCATGGTTTGTTTGTTTCGTGTTTGGTTTGTTGTTTTTTTTTTTTTACAGTAAAGCACAGTTTATTTGCTGTCCTCACCTCTTGAGGATTCAATTCTGAAAATGCAAGTGAATGTAAACATTGCTCTCCAGGTCCCAAGATGCATCCGGGGACCCTTGGAGTTAATTACAAAGTCAAAAGAGAGAGCAAAATCAACAAAACACTTCCCAAAAGTAAAAAGGTATTTTCTTTAAAGTCTCTTCCTGTGCACCATACAACTCCAGAAAAGGCAAGTTCATCTTATACACAAGACTTAAACAAACTTTGCTTTCTCCAAACAATTTCTACGACTTATCAGTATTTGATAAAGCTCTTTTCGTAACATTTAAAGGCTTACAAACTCATTTAGTGTGATGCATCAAAAGTTTTTCCTTTTAGTGTTCTCCAGAAATTTCTTCATGGCACAAATTTGTTCTGTCCATTTTTGTTTTGTTTTTTTTTTTTTCCTAGCAGAAAGAACTGAAAGACATTTCAGGAAAGGAGTGTAAAAGCAGTATTAACTCTCTCTTCTGCTCCAAACTCACAATATTTACACATTTAATTTTTTTTTTTAAAAAAAAAGCTTAATTACACTATAAAATACTGGAAAAACTGTCAGTTAAGTTTCTCATTTCGGAGTTTTGCCCTGTATCACGCTGAAAGAGGGATGTTTTCGTATTTCCCAGGAAAGATGCGACTGGCAGATTAAAACCTGAACTCTTCTCCCTCCGTTCAGCCAGGTGGGACAGCCCCTGCCCACAAACCCCCTCCTCCTCTGCAGGAAATCCCCCAGGAGTTATTAAACCACTGCAAATCAATGCAAATGGGACAACACGATGCTGGGAACCCTGCTGTTTGCTTTGAAACCTTATCTATTTACAGTTGGAGGCGGGGGGGAAAGCGAGTAGGCATGGAACACCTTTGGGTGCTGCTACTGTGGTGTGGTATCAACCAAGATTAACTCCTGGGGAGCTTGGCCAGGTCCCAAACCTCACCTCGCACGGGAAATTGGCTGTGACTCCATCACCAGGGATGGGATGTCCCTGCCCTCACGGCAAAGCCACCGCTCCCTCCGGTTCCGCTTTAATGAATAAGGAGAGGGCGGTCACCAGCTCAGCGGGGTTAGAGCTCAGGCAACACTGAAATTCAACAGAATCAGGTGCGATACAAAAAAAAAAAAACCCAAACAATAGAAATAGCCAGTCTGGTGAGGTCTGTGATACTAGGCTTTTTTAAACCTGACAGGATATTGGAAATTTTGGTCATATTATCAAACTGTCAGGTAGGGGGAATGGCTCTCGTTGTTCAGAGGATTTGTGTGAGGGGAGTTTCGGGGGGGTGGGAATAGAGGGACTTTTAAGATAATTAAAGCATTCACAGTTTCAAAGCTGCTTGCCTTACAAAAATTAAGACATTCAGATTCAGGGATACAATACTGTATTTTACAAGGGGGTTAAAACTCATTACACATACAACAGAGGGGAGAAAAAAAAAAAAAGGTAGATATACCAAAATAAGAAAGCCAACACCTCTGGGGTGGCATACTCCCTCTGGGCTGTTCATCTCACAGAGCTGCACGCTGCTTTTCTGTAAAAAGTCAAACTGAGCAGTCAGGAAAACATCCACTGAGAGATTCTGGCAAAAGAAAACAACAACAACAACAAAAAAAAACAACCTAGCAAAACAAATCAAGCAAGTCAAAAGCCATCCTCCCCTGGATAAGCCGAATGCCACGGCTTGGACTTCCACTTGCCTGCTGCTCCTCGGCGTTTCCATAGGCTCACCTTGGGTTTTAAAGGCTTCCTGCTCACAAGCTGAAGGAAACCATCCCGTGCACGCACAGCCCAAGACAGCCATGCCTTACTCTCCTACAAAGTCTTGAATTAGTCCTGCCCATCACAAAGGGTCCTTCAAACAATCCTTTTCCTCTCTATCCTGCAGAGGATCCTTTTGAAGGCCCGCCTGAAGTCGTGGTTGAAAATGGTATAGATGACGGGGTTCAAGGAGCTATTGCAGTAACCGAACCAGAAGAAGAAATTGAAGAGGGTGTCGGGCACGGAGCAGCTCTTGCAGACAGCCATCAGCGTGTAGGTGAAGAAGAAGGGGAACCAGCAGATGACAAAGACCCCGATCACCACCGCCAGCACAAAGGTGAAGCGCTTCTCCCGGTTTTGCCTGCCCCTCCACCGGGACCCTTTGGTGTTCCTCTCCTCCTCCACCTTCCTGGGCAAACTGTCCCCAGGTTTTATCTGGCTTAGTTTAGTCTTGGTCTTTCCCCTCGACGGTCTTTCTGTCTTCTTACACTGGTTGTTCTCCTGGTGCTCGGAGGAAGAGGTCTCCTCCATGTCTATGCCGTTGACCTCTCCCTCCTGCCCACCTCCACCACCTCCCGCCGCCTTCTCGCCATTGAGCTGGGCTGTGGCTGGCAGGTCCTCCTTGTCGGCCAAGCCGTTCTGCCTCTTCTCGGGGCGCTCTGCCCGCTTGTTCGGCGGCACCCTGGTTCGCCTCTTGGCGATCTGGTAGATGCGCATGTAGACCAGGATCATGATGAGGCAGGGGGCAAAGAAAGAGCCGATGCTAGACGAGATGATGTACCACTTCTCGTCGTTGATCTTGCACCCTGCCACCCCCTGGTCAGCCTGCTGCCCGCTCTTCTTCTCGATGGAGATGAGCGGTGGGAAGGAGATGACGGCCGAGATGACCCAGACGATGAAGATGATGCACTTGATGCGGCGCGGGGTACGCTTGAGGTTGTACTCGATGGCTTGTGTGATGGACCAGTAACGGTCCAAGCTGATGGCACACAAGTGCACGATGGAGGAGGTGCAGAACAGCACATCCAAGGCCAGGTAGATCTCGCACCAGACTTTGCCGAAGTACCAGTACCCCATCACTTCATTCGCTAAGGAGAAAGGGATGACCAGCGTGGCCACCAGGATGTCGGCCGAGGCTAAGGAGACCAGGAAGAGATTCTGGGGGGCCTTGAGTGCACGGCTGGTGAAGACGGCGATGATGACCAAGACGTTGCCGAAGACGGTGAAGAGCATGAGCAAGCCCGCCAGGCTGATGAGGGTGATGGTGGTGTGCAGGGGGTACGGCGTCCCCCAGCCCGGCCCGGCCCCGCTCTCGTTGAAGGTCCCGTTGGTGCCGGGAGGCGGGTAGCCCTCCTCCTCCTCCAGCTGCCGCTGGTACTCCATGGAGGAGAAGAAGTGGCCCCTCTCCGTGAACGGGCGCTCCAGGTTAAACATCAACCCCGCTTGACGTGGGACAACCCCCCCCCAACCCCGCACCCCACCCGCCTCCGCG